ACATTAGTAACTTACTTTTAACAGCATCAGATGCGCGCGCGCTCACAAGATCTTCCGGTTCCTACTTGTGAATTCAGTTCACTGGAGACTCGCACTAAACGGTTCATTTGAATCAGTGAGTTGTCGACTCGAGAACAGCTGCAATCGGATCATTCTAGTTCGTGAATGAATCGTTTGGTGCGATTTGCGAAAAATTGCAACAAAAAATTGCAAAAAAAAAGTTTTATGAAATGTAGTTTACTAAAAAGTACGATCTTATGCTTTGGAATATAGTGAAGTAAAAGTAAAAGTTACTCAAAATAAAACTACTCCAGTAAAGTACAGATACTTGAAAAATGTACTTAAGTACAGTAACGAAGTTAAATTACTTCGTTACTGTCCACCACTGATTTCATTACACTAAATTTAAGAGCTATTCCATATACCCTAGACAAAATATGTTCCTGCATAGCTTACTTTGCAAAATTCTCTTCTGTCTCTGTGGCCACGCCAGTTTTTTTGCAAAACCAGAGCTGCCCTCCTCTTCTTTACAAAATTTGCTCTGTAAGTGAATAAAGAATTACTTAGTTTAATATTGCTGTACAATTACACAAACAAATACTATATAAACAAGAGACAATGGGGAACAAACCTGTCCTTATGGGCAATCATCACTCTTTGGATGATAAGTGCTTTCTTGTAAAGCTCTTGCTCTCTCTCCAGTTCTAGGAAGGAGTCATGATGATCCTGCAACAGAGGGAAAAAAGGAAATGATAAATACAGTAAAACAATAAGACTGTGAAAATCAATTTTAACGTATTTTTAACTGTGATTTTATTTCAAGATTATTTGATGAATACAAATTTTTCAAAAGAACACCATATATTTTTGTAACATTATAAATGTCTTTACTGTGACTTTACTGTTTAATTAATTTAATGCATCCTTGCTGAATAAAAGTATTAATTTCTTTAAAGAAAAATCTTACTGACCCCAAACTTTTGAACAGTAGTGTATGTTTAATATAATCACAAAAATGACATCAATGCCTTTAGAAATCCAATATACGTTAACATTACAGGAATGTATACTGATATAGATGTAAAATCAGTATAATTCACTAGAGAAATATTACGTCTAAAGTACCCTGAGAAAGATTTTGGTTTTGCCAATCTTCCAGTCCTCTTCGTCTTTGATCATAGCCCTGCAGATGGCTGCACAGCAGTTGGCAGCGGGCTCCTGATAAACAAATAACAAATATTTCCATTTATCAAATCATTCATCATGTTTAAAGCTGAACATGTCATTCTTTTTATTTCTCCTATGTCACCTTAGTATGTGTAGACAATTATAAGTGAACCATTCATAATATGATTCCCACAAAAATTGAAAACACTGTGCTGTTTTGTTTTTAACTGTCTCCATTAGTGTGATGCAGACATGTGACGCATCAGCATTGGCTAAACCAAACTGGGGGCAGAGATATCTAGATGTCTGGCCAATGGCAAATGGGTGGCGTTTTTAGGGAAACCTGTTTGAAAATGGTCATTATTTTTGCGTTTTGCTTGCTTATAGTTGTTTTTGGTGATGCAAGTGGCACAGAAATGACACGCTTCACCTTTAAATAAATGTAGTTGTATTTTAAGGGAGATTTTATAGTAAGGTTTCATTTGTTAACATTAGTGAACATATATATTTTTACAGCATCCATGTTTAGTTCGTTCACAGTGCATTAACTAATGTTAATCGATACAACTTGTGATCTTAGTAAATGCAGAGATTGACACTGACTAAGATTAACAAATGCTCAGAAGTATTGTTCATTGTTAGTTAATGTAAACTAATGTAGTTAACTAATGTTCACAAATGAAACCTTATTGTAAAGTGTTAATAGAGACTTTTAGATCAACATTATATACACATGATTCCTAGCAACCAATCACAGCCCTGAACTTAACTTTAAATCAGAAGGCATTGATTGGTTGGAATTATGCAGGACCATCTAGGGATGTTGAATAACACATTAAGCTATATTAATCAACTATCACTTTATAGTAATTTTCATATTCAGAGCATCGTATCGGTAAACAATCATATTAGGCCCATACAGTGTTGGGGTCACAGTCCACGCTCTTAAGGAGTACACGATAGCGCTGCAGGAAGTCTTTGAAGGTGTGCCGGATGGGATATCCCGATTTGCGTATTTGAATGGTCTCTAGCATTCCAGAGTAGCGAAGTTGCTGCATGCAGAGGTTTCTATCAAAAACCTGACAAGCGAGAAAAACAGAAAGCACGATTTGATTAGTGTTCTGATGGTTACACAATATAAAATACGTAACTTAAGGGATGTGAATTGGTACCATGGGCATCTTTTTGTCATTTGGTTTGAAGCAACGAATGAAGAAGGGCTGACAGAGAGACAGGGCCTTCATCAGAGAGTCCAGAGATTGACGGAACTGGCCACTGAGAGTAGATATATTCCGCCTCGAATCATTTACTTGCTGTGTGACACAAAAAAGACACAATATATTGCAAAGCTGTTGCCACTGTCCAGTCAATACTCTCAGTCTACCGTATTAATGTCCCATACTCGTAATGAGTTCTTTGGCGTCATGATGATTTTGTTGATTTTGTTATTGTTCTTGGCTGAGTTTGTATTCATCTCCTTTTCAAAGATCAGTTTGAGCAGCTTGTTGGAAGATTTCTGAACGAGCTCCAAGATGTCCATGCTAAGGGCATCTCTGTTCTTCTCCAAAAAACCTGACAAAATACAGCACTTTAAGATCAGAACTAATTTGCTTTGTAAAATAACTATTAGGCATGTCATAACCAAGTCTTTAAGTAATGAATTGTACCTTCACAGTCATAATAAACCGTCCCAGCAAAGTGCTTAACCCCAAAACTCATGCCATGGTTGCCCTTGAATGACATGTACAGTTTGTTTCCATTGTGTTCTGTGTTCATTTTGTTTAACATTGTGGCATCTGTTCCCTGCATTAAAAAACAAGACAACACAAGGTGAGCACAGACAAAATATCCATAAGCATATAAAGCACTCATGTAGCTTATGACGCTCACCTTAGGAAAGGTGCTCTCCTCATCAATCAGAGCCAGTATGTTGAGAGGTTTAATGGCCAGCAGGTCCAGGGTTTTCTGGTTGTCATTGAAAGCGATGCGCTTCCATGAGATTCCTTCTTTACTGTACTCATCCTGCTCCAGCTTAAAGATGTGCCTCACAAAGAACTGCTGCAGGTGCTCATTGGCATAATTAATGCACAGCTGCTCAAAACTAAACAAAGAGGACAGAAGTATAGAGAAATTATATTTACGACTCGAGTATGGGCCTATCATAGAACTAACTATGCATCTATCTATCTATCTATCTATCTATCTATCTATCCCTGAAATTATACTTAAATGCAGTACTGAAGTGCAACTGCTCAAGTACTTTAAACCCTTGCTAAATATTAATGATAATTTTTAACATAATTTTTAGTTTATTCAACAGATACTTACCTGTTCTGAGGGAAATTCTCAAAGCCAAAAATGTCAAGCAGACCAATGGACGTGCGCGTGCAAGAGGACTCATCAGTCTGGGGTTTGTGAATGGCGCTGTTTATTTTTGTGAACATCCAAACAAACAGCCTTCCGTACATGGCCTGTCAGGGAGTAGAACAAACACATGTAATTGTTGTAGGAAAATTAATGTTTTACTCTTTCTTATTTACTTTCTTAGACATTGTGGGTTTTTATTTATATATATATATATAAATAAAAACTCCTTAAATATAATTTGATTCCTTGTCTCTTACACTGTGATGCTATTTGTTAATAATTATTTTTGCCACAACATAATTCACATGTGCAATAATAATGAGCATTTATGAAGCCTGAATGATGATTGTATATACACCATTGTTCGAAAGTTTGGGGTCAATACGTTTTTTTTTCTTCTGGAAAAAACATTTGGACACTATTGTGTAAGGATGTGGGTACCTTGGCAAAAGCATCTCTGGTGGCTGTGGCCTGCTCTGAGCTGAGGGGTTTCGTGACTATCTCTCGGTTTGTCATGAAGGAGCGATGGGTAATACTCTTATCAAGAACAGCATCACCCACCTGCAAAGTGGCAGAAGTGCTGTCATCAAATACATTCAGCAGCCGAATGTTTGATTACATAAATACAGTAAGCTTTTAAAAAATGAATTGAGGATAAAGTGCTAAAAGCAGCATTAGCTCTAAAGAACATTTCTCTGTACCTCCAGCAACTTGGCAGTAACAGAAAAATGATTGGATGACAGGACATCACAGCTGTCCATGTTATTCATTGTGGTGCCTGAAAAAGATCAGGAGCAAAGCAGTCAACTTTATGGCATTCCTACCTGCAATAACTTCTGTTTATGGGAAGACAGCTGAAATGTTATTACTGTAATAGAAAGGCTATTGACACTAACTCTGAAAGTCGATATTGCCCATGTGGAGAATGGCAGCGAGTAATTTGAAGATTTCCCAGCAGTCCCTGTCTGAGAAAGTGAGGATCTTTAAAGCAGCACGAATCCGTCCGAACTCATCAGCATCGTCCCGACCATCACATGTCAAACAATTACCCTAGATAACCATCAGAAGAGTCACTTATAGCACTTGTGCCTGAGTCAGTGATTATCAGTATCGAAACCTGATAAAAGAATCTGAATTAGAGAGGAGTGATTTTAAAACTCAATGGATATTACACCAATACTGTTAAGATGTAGTCATGATTTACCTGTATTTGACACAATTAAAGCATACATTTAAAATGTCAGAAAAACTCCAAAAACTTAGGGCTAAACATTTACTGAATACGTGAGCAAAAACAAAAGCGTTACAACTCCTCTCCTCTCTAAAACGTAATAAACCTGAATTGTAGAGCTCACCTCAGTCAGGTACTTGAACTGTGATGCATCACCAAGAGAGAGAGTCTTCTTATGGTCACTTTGCATCCCAGATAACATACAGTAAAAAATGTGGTAGTTCCTTTCCTGAGGTGCCTAAAAATGAAAATAAATTAATTAATAATTAAATCATCTTAAAATAATTAAACTAAATTCATAAAAGAACATTTATTTACTCCATTTAATTTTTAGCTTTTAACCATTAACATGATAAATATTAGTTAATATTATTAAGACTAGTTGAAAGTAATGAAGCTCATAAAAACCAGTGCAAAACCAGTCATAGGCTCTTGATGTTTTTTCTTAAGCACGTAAGGTGAACAATCTCAGACTAAAAGGTACAAAGCTGTCACTGTGGTGGTACCCTAAGCTACAAAAGCTATATATTTGTATCTTATTTACCCCTAAATGGCACATATTAGTACTTTAAAGGTACATATTAGTACCATTTGAAAATGTAGTGACAGCTATGTACCTTTTTACTGTAAAACATAGTCGCACCTGATGACAGACACGAGACTTCTCCAGCAGGTACTGCTCCATGTGAGCTCCCTCTATAACGCCCCCTTTATTGAAGCAGACCTCCACATATTTCCCAAAGCGGCTGGAGTTATCATTCCGAATGGTTTTGGCGTTGCCAAAGGCTGTAAGACATGCATAAGTGAGACAGCTTTCTATGGAAATGATTGAAATAGTCGACAAGACAAGCCTGTTCAGTGCTTACCCTCCAGGACAGGGTTGGCCTGGATGATCTGCTGCTCTATCCAGGAGTGCTGCCCGCTCACAGCAGCCAGGAACTGAAGAATCAGTTTTGTGCTTTCTGTCTTTCCTGCACCAGATTCTCCACTGACACACAAACCAAAAGCATTTATTATTTTTTGTTTGCCAAGATTTGTAAGGATAAAAGTATCTGGTAAATAAATAAATATAAATGTGTTAAAATCCATTGACAGCGAGCTGCTGCAGCATGTAGCTAAAACAAATATTAAATTAAAAGGTGAAATCTGAAAATGAACTATGCTTATTTATATAATATAATATAATATAATGAATAATTGAAAATGGGCTGTTGAATTATTAGAAAATAATGCACACCTGAGGTGGTGATGTGGCCACGACGTGAAGCGGAGTCTGCTTATACATCAGTTGCCACACTTCAAGACATTGTTCAGATTATGATTTTTAAGACATTCATAAGGTTTTTGTCCTTAAAATGCTCTTATGAGTAGGATTAATTTCCAATGCCACAGTTGCTAATTCCAAAACGTCATTTTAGACCTAGTAATGGAGGCTTGAGCCATTGATAGCAGACTAATGCAGTTATTAATTAAGTGATTAAAGAGAGAGAGAGAGAGATTAAGTTTGTGTGAATTATCTGAGTCTGTGTGTCTCTCAACAGTGTTCAGCAGCACAGTCTCTATTAGCGAAACTCATCTGTTCATCTGTTTCAAGAACAGCGCCGTTATTACCTTGCTGGTGAGAAATGTCATGTAGCTTTTAAGTTGCTAAAGTTGCTATTTTACTGATAAAATCGTCAGAGCAGCGCTAACAAACAACACGTTTCTGTGCGCATGTGTTTCCGTGTGCGAGTGTTTGTCCGTATTGTATGTGTGTGCGTTTGTAAGGGAGAGAAAGCGGGAGAACATGCTTTCCGTACCTAATAAAACATAATTTTATGGTTAAAACACGGAAGAAATTTGTGGGGTTTATCGTATTGTTTACTATATTACTCTATTTATTAAAATTATAATATAATATAATATAATATATAATAGCCTATAATAATATATAACAATTAACAAAGTCATTCTACACCATTGATGGCTGTTTAAATTAACTTTTTCTGGCAAACCGAGTATGCAAAGAGCATAACTTATAGCCTATCTCTAATTGTACATTGACCACTCACAAATTTTATGATGTGTGACTAAATGTGTAGACACTCATAAAACATATGCTATGTAAAAACATTATCTTACAAGGGTAGGATATGCGTGGCCAACTTCTAACTTCATACATACTACTAGGCATACAAAATCAATCATTAACATGCATTAGATTAGATTCTCAATATTCAGAAGAAAAGATTAAATACATACCTTATAATGCAACACTGGTTGCGTTTGTTGCGGTGCATGTTGAAGTAACAGCTGTCAGCGATAGCAAAGATGTGCGGTGGGAGCTCGCCCAGTTTACGGTCGTGATACAGGTGCACCTGGTCTGTCGTGTAGATGGGCAGCATCTGATAGGGATTCATGGCCACGAGGACAGAGCCAATATAGGTCTAAACAGCACACACAGAGAAAACTACATATATCACACAGTTTATATTTACAATGGGATGCAAACATATGAGGCAGCATCTGAAAAACTGGGACTGAAAATCTAATTTAATCTAAAAATTAACAGAAAGTTTAAGGATTTACAACAAAGCAACATTATGATGTAAAATTATTCATACATATTTTAGATTCTGCACTATTTCTAGGTCACTAATAAAAACAAGCAAATTTGTGACACCAATCATGCGACTCTTTGTACAAATAGTCAGATGTCCTTCTTAAGAATCTCTCGCCACTTTTTGGATTATGTCCAGTCGCGCTGGCAAACATGATCATCGCGTTTTACACAAAATTGCTCATACTCACGCTGAAATACAAACAAATTTTTCAATTCAACTTTTTAATTAAATTGTTATGCATAACTGAACTTGTTAGTCCAGGTGATATGTGCAAAATTTGAGGTTATATGTTCACTTTTTCATAAAAGCACGAAACGTGGTACAATTGTACAGGTTAGGGCCCTGAACATTTTCAGAAATGGAGCCATAACAAAAACACCTCGTGGTTGCCATGACGACCATTTTACTTTCCGCCATAACCAACTTATGTATTTTGTGTCATATCTCCTGACCCAAACATGATAACACAGAAAAGGCGATGTCTGCCCCTATGTTTTGATGGTCAAGGATTACAGTGATACCATATACAAAAACATAAACTGTTCAGGTGAAGAGTTAATGGTGAAATCAGCAATGTGAGAAGGAAATAACAGTATCTGAGCATCATAGTATCACAGCATTTACAAAAGTCCATATTATGGCTATTAATTATTTTCTTTCTTTGATAATTAACTAATATTTTATTCAATAGTACAATAAAATATTGTTTTCAAGAATACTATCATATATTTCAGAGATATAAAAAAATATAATTTCAAGTAAGTGTATTTTTCCTTACCTCTCAGGCAGAGTCGGGTAGGCGTTAGTATGTTTCCAGTACATTCTTGTTCTCTCTCAACAATGCTTTAACATCACACGCAGACGGCAACGCAATCTTGCTAAGGTGCGTCCTATCTCTTCTGCTGCACCTCTGTCATTTTCTGTGGGTCTCTGGAATTGTCAGTCAGCTGTCAACAAACTTCATTCTGGCCATTGCTTCTCGGTGTACTCTTAGTATCTTGGGCTTGACTGAGACCTGGATTTGTCCAGAAGACCCCGCAACCCCTGCTGTTCTCTCTAACAACTTCCCTTTCTCTCACACCCCCCCGTCAGGTTGGAAGGGTACTGGTCTTCTCATTTCTAATAATTGGAAATACTCAACCCACTCTTCCCTATGCAATAAAAATTATTTTGAGTTTTATGCTATTATGGTAACAGCTCCTGTTAAACTCCATATTGTAATGATTTATCGCCTTCCTGGTCACCTTTATAGAGGAGCTGTATGTGCTGCTGTCCTCATTCTCTGTGGATGGCAGTCTACTTGTAGTCTTTGGTGACTTTGAAATCCATCTGGAGAAGCCTTACACTGCAGACTTCCACTTCTACTCCTATCTTCATTCGATCTCAAATGGCTTGCCACCACAAACACTAACAAATCAGGCAACCAGCTTGACTTAATTTACACATGCAATTGTATCACAGATAACATTTGGTAAAACCTCTAGACATCTCTTTATTACATTTAACCTACATATTATTACCTGTGTGCCACCAATTTCTCTACCAGTTACTTTTTGGCAAAACCTATGCTCCCTTTCACCCTTCCATCTTTCCTCTGTAGTGTCATCCTCTCTTCCCTTACCCACCCATTTCTCATCTCGGGATGTAAATACAGCAACTGACACTTTATGATCCACTTTAACTTCTTGTCAAGACAATATCTGTCTAGACAGGCCAGTGCATAATACCCCTTCTAACCTAAAAAGTTGCCCCATGTATCATCATCTTTACTGTATTTTTGCTGAGCAGTCTTTTGGGTGGCTCACCAATGTACTAGTAAATCTACTGTAAAAAATTAAGTAGGCTTGAACAAAATTTTTGTGGGGAGAAGAATTTATTGAAGATGGTAGTGTAGCAGTTCTTCAATAGTGATGTTAGCATGTCTTCCTTCAAACAATTTTACCCTTGTATGAATCCTAGCTTCTCCCAAAGTTCTGTCTGTGGGATATAATTTTATACCTGAAGACAAAAGGGCTAGAAACAACAGATACTGTTAGGATCTTCCCGCTGGAGATCCTGCAATCTACAAGACGTTCCTGAGGAATGCTGTTCCTTTGTTATTCTAATGGAATGGACCATATGGTTCACACCTTTATAGACACCGTTACATTATTTCTTTCACAGAATGACCAACTAAACTTTAACCAATCAGGTTTCAGCAGCGGCTATTCAACTGAGACTGCTTTGCTGTCGGTCACTGTAGCCCTGCAGGTAGCGAAAGCTGATTCCAAATCATCAGTTCTTATTCTGCTGGATCTGCCACTTTTGACACTGTGAATCATCAGATTATCCTGTCTGCCATCACCGGATCTGCACTCCACTGGTTTGAATCTTATCTCACAGGTAGGTCTTTCAGGGTTTCCTGGGGAGGAGAGCTATCCAAAGAACATCAACTGGCCACAGGGTTTCCTCAAGGATCAGTTCTTGCACCCCTCCTCTTCACCATATACACTACATCACTGGGACCCATTATACAAGCACATGATTTCTCCAACCATTGCTATGCTGATGACACACAGCTCTATCATTCATTTCAACCAGACAATCCAATAGTAGCCGTCTCATCCGAAGGACGGAATATAATTTATATAATATATAATATAATATAATTTTATACCTGAAGACAAAAGGGCTAGAAACAACAGATACTGTTAGGATCTTCCCGCTGGAGATCCTGCAATCTACAAGACGTTCCTGAGGAATGCTGTTCTTATCTCACAGGTAGGTCTTTCAGGGTTTCCTGGGGAGGAGAGCTATCCAAAGAACATCAACTGGCCACAGGGTTTCCTCAAGGATCAGTTCTTGCACCCCTCCTCTTCACCATATACACTACATCACTGGGACCCATTATACAAGCACATGATTTCTCCAACCATTGCTATGCTGATGACACACAGCTCTATCATTCATTTCAACCAGACAATCCAATAGTAGCTGCACGGATCTTAGGCTGCCTGGCAAACATTGCGGCATGGATGAAGGAACATCACCTGCAACTCAACCTGGCAAAGACTGAGCTTCTTGTATTCCCTGCCACTTTGACTCTACAGCATGATTTCATCATCCTGCAAGGTTCATCAAAAATTATTCTTTGGTGACCAGCTAATCTTCAAGGACCATATTGTAAAGACAGCTCGATCATGCAAACCTCGACAAATGTTTCAGAATGCTGTGGCATGACTACTCTTCCATGAGCCCAAAAGGGCCCACTTCACACCTCTCTTTATCTCCCTGCACTGGCTACCGGTTACAGCTCGCATCATGTTCAAGACATTGATGTTTGCGTACAGAACAGCTACAGGCTCAGCACCCTCCTACTTCCTCCTCACTCTTACGAATCTACATCCCCTCCAGAAGCCTGAGATCTGTAAGCGATGCCGTGCGGTAACATCACAGAGAGGCATTTTCGTTCCCCTTTCCTGGCTGGTGAAATGATCTTCCCACAATCGCAGTAACACCCGACATGTTATCTGACAGCAACAATAATTTAATCCCATACCCAACCCAATTGACATAAAAACTGGGACCCGAACCATACCTGCATTAAATCTCCTATGTGAGGTAGACAAAACTCATTTATTAAAACTTGTATTCAAATTGTGAATAGATTAAATACAGAAAGCAAGCAAAGAGTGCTCCCTTTAATATAATCACCACAGCTGTCAATTAGTGGCAGCGCGATTGGCTACATTGCTCAGCAGCGTGTACTGGACCGAGTCGAAATAGTCTTGGTTATTGGACCCGCAACCCCCCCGTGCTTGTCACCGTCCGGCCCGCACCCACATCACACCCTACACATAAATATTATTCCACCCGTTACATCAAATATTAGCAATTCACCTGCATGTACCTGCCCGCATGCAGGACTCTGGCTTCTACCTCATAAACAACATAATAGACAATCTCAAGTACAACTAAATACACATCACACCATCCATTAAGTTTATAGTAAAAAAAAAACAACAGCTGTGGTTGCCAAAACTTTACTCTAAAAAATATGGTAACAACATTTTAAGTTTTACGGATTAAAATTAAATTTACAGTAAAAAAAAAAATGTGTCTATTGTAAATGTGGTAACAACATTTTAAGTTTTACAGATTAAAATTAAATTTACAGTAAAAAAAAAAATTTGTAAATGTGTCTATTGTAAATGTGAGCTGTCACACAAAGGATTCTGGGAATATGGTTTTTCACTTCCAAAAACTGTAAATTTAACAGTATTACTGTAAAATTACATGAAACGTCCCATTAGATATCAGTTTTTCACCATATACTTATGGTTAACCAATTAACATTTTTTTTCTGTAAGAGTTTTACTGTATTTCACTGTTATTACAATCATTTTGAAATACAACTCAAATACTAATCAGGAAAAACATAATTAATTTGATGATTACAGAGGCTGAATTTTTGTTATGACATAATAAAGTAACTTACATATATAATGCTCTGTCTGTGGCGCATCAGCAGGTTTCTGAGTAAACCGGCTTCACTGAGGTCCCCCAGTCGGATCATGTCATCCACACCCTCCACTGAGGTGGGGTGCATAGGCTTAAGAATAGCCTTTTCCCCCTCTGGGATATAGTGCTCCTGGGAAACCATCACAATACATGAGATTCATCCAACAAGTGTAGATTAATTAAAACACTAGAATAATATAGATATAGAATATAGAATGTGTTGTGATGTAATATTCCATTACTGTAGATCATTAGGGGAGAGCAGGGCTAGTTGTCACATTTTTACTCCACTGAATATTTGTATGGAGTGGCTATTTACACTAGCTCCACAAACGTGTGATAGGTATGGTCAGGGGCGTAGCCATCATTTCAGAAGTGAGGGGGACAGAAATGTTTTATATATATATATATATATATATATAT